ACTCGCCACTGGCAGTCTTGTAGTTCCTGGCGATGGTCTCCGAAGGATTCAAACCCAGGGTCTTCTTCAGTGAGCTTGGGATTGCTGTTACTGCTGCGCCTGTATCAAAACCTGCAACAACGTGGGTCCATTCGGTGGATTCTGATTCTGTGCTTTCGCTGCCAAAGCTGTTCAGCTCTGCTCGTGAGGCCTTGTTCGGGACCAGCCTCACTCGAGCCATGTCCTTTCCAACCTTGGCATGTCTGGCGTCGATGTGGTGCTTCTCTCGATGGACTTCTGAATGGATCATGGGACAGCCTCTTCCTTTGTTGCAAAAGCTCTTGACGAACTTCTCACAGCGCATAGCATCCTTCGGATGGTTGAGATATAGAACGCCTCGCTTTCTTCTCTCCTCTTCCTTTGTCTAGCTGCCTTGATCCTCAAACGTCTTTTGTCCTTCTTCTGCTTGTCCATCTTTCTCACACGCTGTGCAAAGATGTTCACTCGCCTGCGCCTCATCACATTCAGTTCATCACCCTTGGTCTCAGTCTTGAACTTCTCAACCTCATCTTGCGTCAGCCTGCGATACTTCTTCGCAGACTCGAATAATTTGCCTCTCTCTTCCGGTTTGATGGTGCTCGCGCTCACTTGTTTTGCTCGTCCGGAATGAACGCGAAAAGTGTTGTCGTCAATGGCTGCCACAGCTTCGGTTTCCATGCCACCTGCAGTCTCGTCTTCGAACTCTTCCTCTTTGACGGGCTTGCTGTCAAACTCTTCATGCCAAGCAAGATCGGCCTTCTTGAACTCTTCGCGCCGCTCGACCACACCAGACTTCCTTCTCAGGGCTGCCTTTCTCCTCTTCTTCTCCTGAGCCCCTGCAGAGTGGCTAACTCCGCTCTTGATGGCCTGGTGGTACTGCATGACTGGAAATGAGTTATGTTACTTATAGGTAAGTTATATCTTCGGTAACTGAACTTGTAATTTGATAACTTAGGCTTTAACTTCGATAAGTTAAGGTTTAAGTTGGCTAACTCTAGTTATACTTATAGAAGTTAAAGTATTTTATAAGTTAGTTAGTGTATTTATAAGTTAGTTATAAGTATTAGAGGGTTAGTTACTTAGAACATATAACTTAGATATATCTTAGTTACAACTACTTAGTTGAAGTTACAACGAGTTAGGAACTGTTTGTTTTGATGGATTTGAGGAATTGTCACTGAGACACTGTATAGTGATGGCGGAACAACAGGGCAGGAGACAGCAGCAACACTATGTCCGCTTGGATGAGTTTCTGAGTTTAGAGGACTGGCAACGGTTGGGAGCGACCAACTCCAACCGAGAGAGGTGCACATATCTGTGCGATGTGTTGTACCGGAGACTGCAGCTTCGTTTGCCCACAGAGCAAACATACGGATTGGCTAGAGACTGACATACGCTAGCGGCGCGACCTGAGAAAAAGCGCGGCTACTTTTAGTGGTGTGGGCAGGGCTCCGTAGTTGCTTCTAGAGTATATATATATATATGTATATATAGATTATAGGTTGGTTTGTGGGGAAGTGCATATATACATTTTTCAATAGGGTCGATGTCGGTCAATGTCGGTCGATGTCGGACCTTGTTTTCGAAGGTGTGTTTCTACGCACGTCGGACCATGTCGGCCCCTACATAAGTAAATAAGGCCCGCGTCTAGACTTCGACGAACGCGCAACGTCGGCCGATGTCGGTCGATGTCGGACCCCCTATGTAGGAAAGTTTAAAAAACCAATGATTTTGTAGCTTGCTCTGGCTCGAACGTGTCTCCGCTTAGCTCCATAAAGTGGGCTGGACGTCTTGATGGCGGCAGTGGTAGAGGACATCCCGGCGCAGGAGGGACCGAACTCTCGGGTGTGTAAAGCTGTGCAGGCGCGACCTGCCCACGGACACACCCGGGAGACTGAAAGGAAAGACCTTTCAGCGCCGGACGTGCTTGACCTTGCAAGTGGACGACCGCGCGTGAGTGGAGACGACCGTGCGTTGGTGGAGAAGTGACGGGGCAAGGATCACCTGCATCCACTGAGCACTGCTGCGCGTTGAAAAAAGTGCGCCTGCGTGCTGCGCGTACCGAATGCGAAGGTCTAATTTTCAGAAAAAGTTAACTACTTAGCACCTACTTATAAACTACTTATAACTTACTTATCCTACTTATAAATTGTTCGTAAATAACTTATATGTAGAAGTTATAACTTCCTAACATGTAGGGTAACTTACATATGTCTTCGATAACTCATTTCCAGTCATGCAGTAGCGGCTGTCATGCCAACTCTGGTCGAAGACGTCGAGTTCGGACTTCTTCTTCTTGGCCTCGTCCTTGGCTTTGCGTTCGTCTTCTGCGACCTTTTCCTTCATTTTCTTCTTTTGCTCCTAGAGCTCTTGAATCTCGCTTTCCAATTTCTTCACTTCTTCTTCATCTTCGGCGATCTCGATCGCTGTTCGGCGCTCGCGGACCTCCATACAGCACCTTCAGGCTCTCTCGATGCTTCTCAATCTCGTCCAGCATCTCCTTATTCTTACGGATGGTCTTGTCGGGATCTAGCTTGTTTCTCAAATCTTCTTTCTTCGATTCACTCAAGGCCTCAAAACGTTCTTTGCTCATTCCCTTCATCACGCAAATCGTCTTATCGAGAATGAAGGGGAAGTCTTCCGGTCTGGTCATTTTCAACATCTCAAAGATGGCCGTCAGGTCCTCTTCTCCTTATTGGCCTCCAAGTCGGAATCGCAAAGATTGCATGTGTGTCGTTCATGGCTACCCGTTGCACTGCATCTCATCTGGAAGCAGCAGCAACAGCACTCCACACATCGACCACCGGCCTCGGGCTCGTGTTCCTCAGTGTCGAGGCCGCCAACACCCTTGGAACCTTTGCCTCGTCCTCGACCACGGCCGCCACCTTTGGAAGACTTTCCAACCTGTCCCTTGTTGGCTTGACCGCCTCCAGCTTGCCAGCAATCCTTCACAAGGTGTCCTACCTTGCCGCAATTGTGGCACTTGCGATCTTCAGTCTTTTTTCGGTTTTGTATTGGGGGTCATCTTTCCTTTCCTTTTATCTCCCTTCTTTCCTCCTTTTCCTTTATAGTCCTTGTTCTTGCCTTTACCACCTTTGTCTCCTTTCTTTCCTCCCTTTCCAAAGCCGCCAACATCCATGGGCACTGCTTCGTCCGGTTGGGCTGCAGTACCAATCCTCAGGCGACTCCCAAGCCTTGTTTCCAGGTAGAGGGAGACTTCAGAGCGAACCTCCTGGTACGTTAACTGGAGATGTCGTTCAAGCTCTGGTGGACATAGATGTTCGAGGACTGCAATCTTGATCTCATTGTCCAGCGTATGTCTTATGCCGTCGCTACGCTTGCGGGACTCATACAAACGAAGTTGCCCCTCCCACTGCTCCACTGTATTTGAGAGGTCCTCCAACTTATTGCACTTTGGATTCAGGATGTGTCTCAACATCGTTCTCCTCCGACCACCTGTTGATGGATCGAAGCGACGGGTCAGGCGTCTCCAAGCTTCAAATCCATTGTTCTTTCCACAGGAGCGAACGATGGTGAATTGGCACAGGGTTTGCAATACGGCAAATAGCTGGATGTTCATCTCCTGGATCTCCTTGCAGTGACTCTGTGTTGGTGCGATCTCGCCCAAGGCATTCTCGATGTCTCTTTCCGTGATCGTTTGGGTGCACTCCTCACACCATGGAAGCACGTCCTCAAAGGCGCTGAACACTGATGTCACAAAGGCTTCAAGTCGCGTTCGCCAGTACAGGAATCTCTCTTCTTTCCCGGTAAACCTGTCGGGCTTCGCCGGGCCCTTGTTATCGATGAGGGACATCTGTCTCTTGTCCTTCGTTTTCAAGCTCTCAACCAACTCTCTCTGGCTGGTTGCTAGAGCGATGAACGCTGCACCGACATCAGGCGGCAACCCATTTGCTGTTGCCGTCGCCTGTTGCGCCTGCTGCTGTCGCAATGCTTCCAATTGCGCCCTGACCTGAGCTTCTCCCTGTTGTCCTTCACTGACCTGGATCTGCAGCTGCTGCACGGCCTGCACGAGTTCTTGTGGGGTTAGTCCTGGCTGCCCTGCCATCGTGATAGATAGCGCTCGATCTCCGAAGGTGTCCTTGGGCAATGGATTCCTGTAGATGCTGTCCGATGTGGTGGAACAGCCGCTGCAATCGCCTCACCCGTTGGATCTTGCGAATCAGCCTCTTCCATTTGCCAAGCACCTGAGCCTCTCTGTTCCGCTCCTGCCGGAGTAGGCCGGCCGAAGCAGCCGACACCACCCCAATTCAATGACAAGGACAGCCAGAGGCCACCAATCCAACGCCTCGAAAACTCCAAGAACCCAGGCCGTGAGCTCAACCGAGAGCTCCGCTACCATGCACAAAATTATCGAAGCTCAAACACAGCGGTAGCTCACCCTTTTTCCAACTTGAGCCAAAAGCGGACGATCGACGGATATGGAGTAAAGCAACTATTCGTCAAAATTTAAAGTGGGTTATAATCAGTCATAGGTGTTTCACGTCATTAAGTTTAAACATGTTTGAACACTCGTATATTTGAGAAACAGTGAGAGTTTTGATGAGTTACCAAAAATGGGTCTGGAAATCCTGACTTCAAAACTATAAATCAATTGATTGAGCACACCTTTAACACTCAAATTGTACGGAGGTCATTGTATGTTTTCTTATACTAAATACTGCATGACTTATATACAATGCCCATTTTAGATTGTCGGTGGCAACTGGGATCCTTTGTTGTAAAAGTGGAGTCCAAAGCCACTCAATCAAGTGGCCTCGTAAACCACACTTGGATGGCCGAAACTTGAAAGGACTTGGCATTGAGGTTTATATATATATATATTATATATATATACAATTCTGGGTTGACAAACCCCAGCAAGTTGGTTAAACACGCTTTTGTTTAATGAAATGTGCTCACAGTATATACTCTTGTTTCTGGACACTTCTGCCTCACAACCTCCTTGCGGAAAGCCCAGCGGCAGATTCCACGTCAACCTCCTTGTCAAACTGTTTCTCTGTGACGCTTCTCTCCTGACATTTGAGCACCTGTCTACCATATTCACTACCATATCCTACATATCACAAGGAGCCTCTTGGAAATTGGTGCCTTCAAGCAACCTGGTGATTTGCCCAAGAACAGTCCTTCTCGCAGTGGTAGATGTCTATGTACCACGATGAAATTTGTTGACCTATTCAGTTTGCCAATTCAACACTCGCTCATGCACTGAATCTCAGGTCTCTCAGGGTATTTAACAAATACAGTATTCGGGATGAACATTGTCAAGACTTGTCTGGTTATCACTATCACTGTCTGTGTCTTTTTTGTTCTCTCTCGTTGGATGATGCGGGAACACATCCTTTATGCCCCCTCACAAACTTGCAGCCCAAGCGAGAAAATGTAATGCGCTGTCACCACACATCCTCTACGTAGAGAGAAGGGCATTGGTGTCGCAAAAACGACCCGGACAAGGCACGCTTTCCAGCGACAAGGCGTTCAAAGTCTGTGAGGCTCTTGGAGGCGACGTCGAAGGGATGAGCCACGGTGCCCTCTGCGAAAGTCCACTCTGCTACATCCTGCAGCGAATTCACTCTGGGACAATGCAGCCTAATGTAGAATCTTGATTAGTTAACCTCCCCTGAATAATGTCTACACGCGTTTTTCGACTATATAATCACCCCTCCCTGATTAATGTCTGCACCTTTCTGTTTACAGTAATATTGTGTTTAACTATTATTTATGTGTTATGTTGTTTTTTTATTTGTTTTTCTGCACCGGTGACATGTAATAATATCTGCTTAACGTCTCCTGCAATAATGTCTATGGTGTTCATTGTTAATTAAACTGTTTTGTCTTTGCTTCCTTTCGATTCAATAATATTCTACAAAAATATAACACCCCCTACAATGATGTCATCCCACACAATAATGTCTACGATTTTCTGTACATGTGTTTACTTATCTATGATTATGTTGGTTTCTAATGATTGATTTCCTTTTAACTTACTTTTGATTCCTATTGATTTCCTTTTGAATTCCTTGTTATTCTGACAGTGTTTCATTAATTTATTTAAGTCCCTTTATTAAATCCTATTAAACTATTATATACAAAAATACAAAAATCTATTCCACAAAGAGGGTAGCGATAGGCTCAGGAAAACAAAACATGACATGACATGAGATCTTGTTGGCGCTGAGTCTAGCAGTCTGGAACTGTGGAGCCTCCATATACAATTAAATTCTTATTGTTACTACTGGTAAGGCACTTGTTTCTAATAGCTTCTTGATGCTTCTTGTTTCTACTAGCGATGCACTTGTTACTAGTAGCGATGCACCTGTTTCTAGGACTCTACATGCCGTGCCCAAAGCCCAAAGCAGCCTTGCCCAAAGCCGCCGCCAAAGGGCCGCATTGGAATTTGATCATCTCTTTACAGGTCAGGCTACCTGCGCGAGCTGAGCAGCCGGCTCCCAACAGAATCATCTCTCACATGCAAATCTTATCCTGTACCTACTCAAGAGTGGTCCTCATCAACTCCACCTTGTTATATTCTTTGACTGCTTGGCAATCTCTGATCCAAAATGAACGGAATAGCTTGTCTGCCCAACTGTTCAAACAGTTTAGAGTTGGGTCAAGCAGTGGAGCAGGCCTGCCAGGGCCAGGATTCGGATCTTTGACATCTTCCTGTCAGTCCTACAAAAGTTTATGTTCCGACATGCTATCCACATCTCCGGGGTATCACACTATGAATGTTCGCAGCTACTCGGATTTCCGCACCCTCAACACCTTTTGAGGCACTTTGCCCAGGTTTGATTTTAGATTCATCCTTTCGCAAATTGTCAGGCAGCACTGTTCAACCAACTGGATGGTTGGATTCTAATTTGATACTACGATGTGCAATCAAAGAAACCTTAGCCGCGCATCAAACATCAAGAAAAGCAATTTGGAACAGTAATTCAATTGAACCATATTGAACCCCAACACATGATACCACTCCAATGCAAAACAAGACTCTGAAGACCGGGAGAAGGCGACGGTCTTTCTTGGGTTCGTCTCATCAGCTCTTTTCCTTGAGCCTGGACTCCAAAAACAGATTCCGGATGCGTCGCTCCGCCGTAAACGGAACCACGTCGGACTCTGTGGGACCTGCAGCCAAGCAACTGCTACAGTTACCCAACCGGTTGCAGGGCCATTTCCTGAAAGCAGCTTGTAGTGCAATCGCCCATCAGCAATGGGATCCAATTCAGTGACCACAGCCCCGGTCCTCAGAGTTGGTGGGTGCCGGGGTTTAAACAACCTCCGCCCAGCCCCCCATCTCAGCAGTTTCAAAGAGGATGGAAGCTGCCTGGCCTTCCGGGAAGTTTGCTTTAAATATTCTCTGGTGGTTTGTAGTGATCAGCGCTTGCTGGTGATCTGTGGCACTTTGTCTATTGTGTGGTCTGCTGCATTGCATCGCATGGGTGATGATCTGCTGTGGGACCTGCTGGGATTCAAGACATGTCAATCATCTTGCAAATGGCACATCACCGTCAAACCAGGAAGCGGGTGGCACTGAACAACTGGACACAATACTAGTTGTTTTGACCCCCCTTCCTAGAACAACACACAGGTTCGCAGTCGTTGTCTTTCCGGTGGCTGTTGGTAGCCCCTCACAAAGGGCCACACTGGGTTGTTTTGATATGTTTTTTGGTGGTTGTTGGCAGCCCTCGTGACAACATACGGGGTCATTCCTCTGGTGTTTGTTGGTAACCTGGTAGCCCTTCAAAAACAACATACGAGAAGACTCAGGATCATCAACCATCAGAACAAAACTACCATATTGAGTAGTGAGTAGGGAAGAGCCATCATCGTCTCAAAAACATTGATAGCATTGCAGCCGGCTTCGCATTGGCATTGTCATCGTTTCACAACATTGTCACCAAACCGACCATGTCATTGTAATTCAAGTGGGGTAGGGGGCATCACAGGCATGGGTTTCACAACGTCGTCGTCGGTGTCACACCGTTGTCATCGAGTGCAAGTTGGGATGTTGCAATTTTTGTGGAAACTTCAATTCTCTGATATTTTTAGCTTACGAGAACCCATGAAGATCATAGGCGAAGAGGGCACCCTACCTTCTTCTTCTTCTTCCTCTTCTTGTTGAGGGTTGCATCTGCTTTGTTTACAGTAAATGGACGGGGTTACAGTCTTTGTTCGTCCTGGTGTGCTGTTCCAGGGGTCACGCATGGGCGCAGCAGTTGCTCCAATTAGACAATGAAAGAAGCAAACAGTTTACTTCATACGGCTGCAGTGATTGTTAGCTCCTTGTTCTTGTTTGTGGTGTCGTCCGTCTGTCCGCCTGACTGCTGTGGGTGTAGAATGCCATAGACTCAAGCAAGATTCCCCAATCGGTCCGGCATCAGGCTCGACGTCAATTCACTACCTGCACAGCTTTGCAAACGCGCATTTGGGCAAATACTGATGAATTTGGATAAATGATTGATGCCACTGTGAACATGCCCACTCCTCCTGCTGCTGCGGCTCCTGCTGCCTATCCCTAGCTCCTCCGAAATCCGTTTTTCATATCAGTGGTTTAGGGGGTTGATCTCCTATGTGTCTTATGGTTTTCAGGGTGGTGGCAGCCTTTTGAACAAACCTGGCAAATCCTGTTGTGGCCCCACCCCAGGGTAAATTTTACAAGAAACCTCGCACAGCCACTTGTGCTTCGCGACCCAGCATGTGAGGGTCAAACTTAAAGCAATCATCAATGAATGATCTACCCCAGCGGTCACCAACCAAGGGTAACGCCCTCGCGCCATACAGTAAGAGCCTCTCAGGTCACGCACCCTTTGTGATTTCATCCAACCTTACACGCCTTTATGCGCATCAAGCGAGAGCCTGTTAGACTTTACCCTCTATGGGCCAACAAACCTATCCTTCCCCTGTGTTGGGTTCCCGAAACCGCTGTAAATACAAGTGCCAGCAGTTCAGGAAGATTGTTTTTGATTCTTATCAATTTCATGTTGATCTCCTCAAAATTGTGTGTGATGGGCTGTGAAACTTATTTCCCTACTGTCTTCAAGACCTTAATTCGGTGGCAAAAGGGCGCATCCGTGAAACCGTCACATCGTGTTTGGTGACAACTCATCATGCTCCACTACGCTCCCTGCCTTCTCTCACCAACAAACCGCCTTTCTCAAGGCCGCCACATGCAATCCAAACCTTTTCTGAAAGGACAACCAGCCTGAGCTCTTTCAGCACCGTCATTCATAAGCGTGTTGATATTTTTCAACAAAGGGAACAAGTGACCTATCAGAAAGCATTCAACAAGGTAGAAAGCTGCTTCATCCTCGTCCGTTTTCCATCCCTCGCAACCATTCGGACAAAGAAGACTGGAACTGACCATTTGCAGACCCGGGGCTGCCTCCCTTGTGTGGTGAGGCTGATCCAACCAGTCAAAGGTCCGTCACCATCCAAAAGTTTGTACTGCAGTCGGTCACCATCCTGCGATTTGCTCAAGTGCCAAAGTGTGAGAGAAGGCAAAGGTAGGTAGCCCCACCAAACATGGGAATATGCCACCGTCAGCAGCATACACCCAAAAGCAAGGTAAAACATACGTACGTTTGGAATTCGGAAATCGTGAACCCTTTTCACGGCTTTGGATTCGTCAAAAAACCAAAGGGCGAAAAAAAATCTCTTGTCCCATCTCCAATTTCATCACATGGTCATCCGATGACAATGAAAAGCCGATGACAATGTCATGAAACCAATGACAATGTTAAGTCATTGACAATGGTATGAAACCGATGACAATGTTGTGAAACCGATGATAGGTGCTGCCCCACCCCACCCTCCCCACCCGAATTTAATCACATGGTCAATGTTGTGATTGAAACCGATGACAACGTTAAGTCGTTGACGGTTCTGCATATTGCATCGCAAAAAAAAACAGCAACGCCACCCCAGTCCCATGTGTAGGTCTCACCAAAGGCAACGACCCATCATTAGATTAGTGCACCATGGCGGCTGTTCTCCGCTTGCTTAGCAGCACTTTAAACAACCTTGGTTCACCATCTTTGTGCATCTTTGTGCTGTGTCCAAAAAGTTTACTGTAGGATAATTACTAATTACTGGTAAGTGCTTTCTTTCAGTTTTGTTGCTGAATCTTCAATCATTAGGCACAATGCGCCCTGGCGTACTATATTTTCTGCCATGCCATGCTACTTGTTCAGCGGTAGGAATGCATGCCTTTAGTTTTGAAGCTGATTGCGTGCAAAAGAATTGCAATAATATGTGATAATGCCGCGAGCAGGTGCAAATCAAACGGAAACATGTCGAGAACATGCTCCAGCTTGATTCATTGACACGTCTCTGGCCAAAACTATGCAGGGGTAAGGCGGGCAAGGCGCTTGTTGTTAGGAGAACGGCGCCAGCACCTTCAGTGCACAGAACGGGCCCAGGCCAAGGTGCACAATACTCACAATACCTCACACAATGAGTGAGATGGGGGCCCACTGGTATTGCTGACCTGCGTTCGTTGGCTCTTCTGTGAGTTCACCCACGCCGTTGGAGGCTCTTGTGGACATGGAAGTGCTGAGAAGGCTAGAGCCCTTTCCTGCAGTTGTGCCTATGCCATGTTTTCCTTGTCAATAATTGTCCAGTGTCGAGGAGCTGGCTGAGCAAAAACAAATTGCCCATCTGAGTGCTTTTTTAAGTTCCAGTTTGGCGAGCTCATTCTGGCGCTTTGCTGCCCTGCGGGTCATGCAATCATGCGTGCGCTGCACTCGTTTCACGTCGCTTGTGCACACAAACTCCCTGAAGGCTGGAAGGCCAAAGTCGAAGGCATCTTGATTTACGATCGTCAATCGGCCCCTTGGTGCTCAGTTTCTGAAGCTTATTGCAAAGGGTTTCTTTTGGGTTTAGGCTGGCTGAAACTTCACTGTGGCTTCAATCCTTCCTTGCCATCAGCCTCAAATGGAGCACTTTCACTTGTGGAGCTAACCTTCACCAACACAAACTACGAGTACCTCTCCAAGAGGGTGCCCAACCCAGAACCTTTAATGTTCGAGGTCAGGTTGCGCAATTGAAGACACTATATATTGCCTCCGCAGTAGTGCTCAGCTGCCTCAGCTTTTCACATAATGTGTTCGAACTGGGCTTGCGCGGGCGAAGGTCGCACCTTTTCACGGCGCACAGCTTGAGCCATCAGTGATGGCGGGCTCACAGCATGTCACTACCAGTGGTTTCCATGAAGGCTTCATGATTGCATCATGCTCTCAAAATGATTTTCACACCTGTTATTTTGTTTCTCATGGAAACCGCTGAGCTTCGTGAAGCTCACAGCAAGCTGGCCAGTGGTCACCAGCATCTCTAGCTGCGGGTTTTTTCATCTTCTTCGTGAGAGCATCGGCTGCCATCGTCAGGGTGTCCACCCATGCAACCTTTGTGGTTCCTTCACGAGGTGGAGCGTCATCAAAGCATGGGTTTCCAGCTTCTTCCCCCAGCTTCCTCCACACGTCTTGGCAGAGTGACGTGAGGTCGATTGCAAGCCTCTTGTCAGTCACTTCACTCATTCCATGCTGGAACAAGTGATCATAGAGGCTCCTGCAATCAGTGAGCCAGCCAATGGACATGCATGGTGTCGCTGGCCTTGGTGAACTTCTCCTTTCCTTTGTTGCCGTCACCGAGGTTCTTGATCTCAAAGAAGATCTGCCTCAGGTGTTCGGCTTCTTCGGAACCAAGCTGCCAGCTCAAGGTCTCAGCTTGCATTGTGCTGCGGCAAACACGTTTGATGGTAGTGGAGCACCAAGACAAGATAGAAACCATGCCCTTGCCCTCCTCCATGAAGTTGTTTGGCGCCAAAGTCAAAAATCTCCCACACTAGGGGCGGTTACCGCCCAAGCGACCATTGCCAAGATCCTCAAAGCTTGAACCATGGCTGGCATCAGTGCTCGGGAGGATCATGCAATCTGGCCAACAGAAGTGAATCCTTGCTGAGCAGCATGCCCTTGTTCTCGGTCTTGACGGAGTAGCTGAGAAGGCGGTTATAGCCTCAATCAGATCTTGTACTCGGGCAGTGGATTGGACGGATTGCAACTGGTTGACAGCAAATGCAAGGTCCGGTCGGCAAGTCCGGGCAAACCATGAGACGCTTCCCAACACTGATCTCAGTTGGGAGATCTCCTCATGAGTGGCACGTTCGGCGCGAAGGGCTCGTCGATCTTGTGGAATGAATACAGGCTTCACCCTGTCCATGACCATGACATTGGTTGGGGCTTGAAAGGGAGATGCCCTCCTCAGTCTGCTTGATAAGTCTTCCGCAGACCTTGAACTGAGGTCATGGCATCATCCATGAGCTTGCTGCCTGTCCACAGGATGTCATCCACGTGGGTGCCCAAAAGACCATGAATCTCACCAGCAGGGCCAGGAAGGTAATAGGCAGCAGCTTCCGATGGGATTGGCTTCAAACCTCAAGAAATCAACACTTCATGAAGGCGCTTCCAAAAGCCACAAGGAGCGTCGGTGGTGCCGTACACAGACTTTTCCGCCGCAAGCAGAAAACCTTAAGGCACATTGTCATCTGGGACTCCACCAGCAGGCAATGCCAGAACCAGAGTTCTGTTGATCTTCACACCCTGGAGGAACGCAGCGCTGATGTCCCCTGCATGTACTTGTAGGCGTGCAGAAGCTGCGTGTGCCAAAATGAGGTTCACAATCAATCGTGAGCAAGCAGGGCTGTCTGTCCTGGGCTTGTGGGGATGGTGTTCAAGGTCACCCCTGACAACAAGTCTTGACTTCAGCTGCTCCTCCTCTCCGACTTCTGACTTGTCGGAGTCGACCCATCTGGTCGGAACGATCTTCACGCGCGGATTCTTCTTGAGAAAGTCCTTCACGTCGTTGGATGTCGTTGGGCTTTGTGACGTTGACCGCAGTGAAGTCCATCCAATTCTTCCACTCCTTCTTTCGACTCAAAATGAATCCCTAGCGAGTCTTGGCGTCACAGGTGTTGAAGTTGACCTCCCTGTGAGCTCCGACTTGACGCTTCTTCTTCTTGAATCTTTTGGCCAGGAAACCTTTGAATATTCGCTCTTCTTGCGCCGTAGCAAGAAGTCCACGATCCTCTTCAGGGACTGGCACACCTCTCGAAGGTGAGCGAGAGCGTTCACGGAGTGGCAGTTTCAGGTGGAGGTCGGATTTCGGGCCTTGGATAGCCATCCAATTGATCAACTGATCTGGAAAGAGCGGTCCTCAAAGATGTTGAGGGTGCCAAGATTGGAGTGTTTGGCACTGTCAGTGGATGTGATGCTTCAGATTCCGGCTGACCAGATAGCTGTCGATCTTGTTCTTTTTGTGGTTCTGGAACAGGCGTTTCCTCAAAGTCAACAGCTTCTTCTTCAGGAACTGCAGGCAGGTTTGAAGGAACCTCATAGGGCGTTGGTTCTTCTTCTTCACCGGAAGTTGCCGCTGGCATAGTCGACGGTGAAGGCACTGGTTCAAGAGGCAGTTCCACATAGCCTGGCTGAAGGTCTTCTTGATCTTCTCGAAGGGCTGGAACATGTAGGTCCTCTGAAATTCGATTTGCTTCTTGAACCTTATCTTCAAGATCTTCCCTCCAGAAGTTGTTTGGACAGCACTTCAGATCTTGTAGCTGGACGGATCTGATTCTCTGAGACGACGATTGCACGGCCAGAGGTTCCCTGGTCCAAACCAACGACCTTTTCGATGAAAGCTGACAAGGTCACCAACTTTGTATGGCCCACGAAGTGGTGTTGACTTCCGTAGCAGGGCGGTTCTGATTCTTCTTGATGAATCGGCTTGGACAAAAGCTTGCTTGGCCGCTTGCCTGATCTGGAGCTGGCGTGAGAACTCATCCAACGGATCTTCAATACCTTGATGGACTCCAAGGTGTTCCAAATCATCATCGTGAATCGTGAGCTGCCAGAGAGCAAACTTCTCTTGGTAGCCGGCCAAGGAGACGGTTGTTCTTGATCGTGACAGCTTCAGCGATGACCATCTTATCTTGATTTCCTCAACTCCAATGACCTGCTTGTCTTGGATGACGGACTTCAGGATGTCCTTCAGGATGCCACCTTGGCGTTCTGTTCTTCCCAACTGGAAAGGGGCTTCAAGGCCACCAAAGCGGATGTCAATGCCGTAGGCATTCAGGAGCTCAGTCATCTTCAGTCAAGTCAGGTCTGCGACTGACTGGAATGGTCAGATTGGTCCCTGACGACTCAGGCTCATCTGGTTCACTGAGCTGACCGAGTGCGAAGGTAGAAGGCGAAGTCCAAGAAGTCCATTCATCTCCGCAATCTTGAGTTGACAGTCCAGAGTTTTTGCTGAAGACATATACTCTGGGGTTTTGCTGCTCAGTTCGATGCAAAATCCAAGTTTTCGTTGGTCTCCAATGCTCAGCAGAAGTGGGGCAGAGCTGCCCTTGAGCTCAGTTGAGTCAATCGCTGCGATTGCGATGCCACCATCAGTGAGTTCAAAGCCAACTTGTAGGCTACGAAGTCCAAGAACTGACACTGAGCCACCAATGCCTTTGAAGGAACCTGTCTCTGGATTCATGGGGAAGTCTTCAACTGTGGCCAACAGCTGCTGCATACTTTTGGAGTTCACCATGGCAGGTCTTGTTGCAGCCGGAATCCAGGATCGCAATGAGGTCATTCTCAGAGGCGTTGGGAGCTTCTTCAGTGGGCGCATCTTCGGAGTCAGAGAGCTCGATGACCTTGGTTGCCATGAAAGCAAAGCCATCTCGTTCAGAAATTCGCCGGTCTGACCCAAATGTAGGGTTGGAGTCTTCGGTGAGCTCTCCTAACACCCAGTTGACGTACGAAGCGTCATGATAGGCAGTGTCGTAGGTCTTACCTTTGTACCTGCCAAAGCTCAGGATCTTGACATGACGAGTGTCCCGAGCTGGTGTCAGTGGAGGCGATGTGGCTGAACGAGATGCTGACGGCTGTGGAGTTCGTGATGCAGATGGCGGAGGAGAACCAAAGTGGTGATGCCGTGGTTCTGGAGAAAAAGCTGCCGCATTCTGTGCGTTGTCAGTGAAACTGCTTTCAGGCGGCCAGTTCACAACGGAGAGCATAGCTTCTCGCAAAATGCAAGACAAGTCTTCTGAAGTCAAATTCTCTCTGGTCTCATTGTGCTTGATGAGGCTCATCATACTGCACATCTTGAAGACTGACTGGGCCATCTAAAGAGTGAAACTGAGTGGTGGTGGTTCTCCATCAGCTGATGAGGACGCGTAGCGCTGTGGGGCCGGCGCAGACTTTGGCTTTCCAATCCGGACGAAGCCACAATGGTCTGCCTTGTCTGAAAACCGTTGGTGCCTTTCCAAGTGATGCGATGGTGTGGACATAGTTCTTGCCCGACAGTCGCTGGCAATGGCGGTGGAGCTGACTTGGATGGAGTCTTGGTTGTTGGTGCTTGATCACGACGAGTTCTCTCAAGCACTTGTCCACAATCGACGCAGGTCACCATGGTGTAGTACTTGTTCGTTCCCTTTTTGGTGGTCTTTGAATGAGCGCATCCTCCATGACGGGAAGCATCAGGCGCCGGAGTGGGTGCAGAGTCTCTTCCGAGTCCAGGAGAGTTGAGCCCGGGAGCTGAGCCATGAAGTCCATGAGGCATCAACTCAAGTCCAAATCCAAGTTGACCGGGTTGCACACCATGCGCCTGAGGGTCATAGATGCTTGGCTCATACTCTTCAACTTCCATCTCTTCCATGTCTGCCACCATGTGTAGTGCTGCATGAAGTGCTTGCTCATCGATCTCATCCTGAGTGAGCATGCGGCCACGAAGTTCAGACGGAACCAGATGCATTGAACGCTCGACCAGCGCTTCCGTGCCAGCATCTTGTAGTTCAACTGGTGCCTGATCGTTGCGAGGTTGGCTGAAAGGAAGTTGAGGCACCATAGACAAACTCAATGCCATTGCATCCTGAAAATAGGGCTGCCGCGGAGGCGCTTTTGCACGGAGGCCTGAATGCGAGGTGGTAGCGGAGGCTAAAGACGGCCTTGGTGGCGTCTGTAAGCTTGCCGGCGGTGGAATGCACACCCCACGACCGGTGACAGTGACTTCTTCCTTGACGGCCATGCCACACCAGGCTTTCTCGGTTCCTGGATCGGGGTCACCCTCTTGCTCTTTCATGCTAAAGTACACAATCCTGGGTTTGTGCCGTGCTTCCCAGAACTCTTGCCTTTGCCAACTCTTTGAGGTTGAAGGCGGCGTAGTCGATGAAGTGCTTGGGGAGCGGGAAAGGACAGTTGACCTGAGACGTCAAATTGTCGAGCTTGATGGAATCCTCCATGTCCTTTCCCGGAAGCTTGTTGCCTGACATTGTATGCCTCATACTCCAACTGAAGAATTCAGCTGCCAAGGCGCATGCCTCTTCATTCTCGAGGTCCATGCCATTCTCAATCCAAGTAGCTGTCACCATCTTCCTCCACAATGGTCTCGTAGTCCTGGTAGAAGGCGGTGTTCTCATCGTCAAACTCATCAAAACCTGACAGGTCTTGGCTTTCCCATTCATCAGCCTCTTCATGAGCCAGATAGCTTTTGAACGCTCGGTGGCGTTGGTGATGTCCATGAGAGCGAAGCCAGTTACGATTGAATCCAAAGCCTTTTCCGCCACGATGCTTTTCTGATTCATGTACTCGTGGATGTTGAGCTATCAGTTCACCAGCTACAGCGTCGAAGGACATGTCGCCCTGTAGCATAGTGCGAACCATGAGCTTCTGGTCGTTGGTGATCTGGGCGTTAGCCAACAGTTGTTCCGCCAGGATCGAATCCGGGATGGCGACAGAGCTATCGAGTCCTTGAAGGGCGATCCACCATACCATGATCTCCTTCTGGTGATGTAGCTTGACATCGATTCACCAGCCTGTCGGCTAAGGATGCCACCTTCCTTATATCCGGCGCTGTAGAGCTCACGAGCTTCCTGGGATGCCCTTGGCTACAGAGTGGAGCCACAGAGCTTCAAGAGGCTTTCAGGACCTCAAGGCTTTGCAAGGTCCTCTGGCTTCAGCTGCTGCGCTAGTCGAAGAGCTCGTCCTCGTAGACCTTCCACTAGTCTCAAGCCTAGTGGCCCCAGCTTCTTGAGTTCACTCTCTTCCATGCTCTTCTCCCGGAGGATCTTCATCTGAACTCGGCACGTGTACTCGGGAAGCTGAGTGGGCTCACCTGAGAAGCGGGGTATGCCATACTTGCCTTCGCTGTCGAAGGCTTCCTGGCTTCCTGCCAGGCCACTCGAACTCTGGGCGCTTTCAAAGCGCAGGGTCTCCAGCAATGCGGACATCGCGGAGCGGGCGGCGCGGTCGCGCGCGCGGGAGCCGGGGTGCCCTTTCAGGCTCCGCTGCCAGTGTTCGAACTGGGCTTGCGCGGACGAAGATCGCACCTTTTCACGGCGCACAGCTTGAGCCATCAGTGATGGCGGGTTCACTCCATGTCACTACCAGTGGTTTCCATGAAGGCTTCATGATTGCATCATGCTCTCAAAATGATTTTCACACATGCGTCCCGCTCAGACCTTAAATTAAAAGATCAGTGGAAAATTAAACCGTTCAAACATACAGCAGAATCAAGATACAGTACACGTATGACATCATGTGTGCGTGCGGATACGCGCTCGCACTTTTACACACACCCCGGCATGAGTGAAGGGGTGACACAAAATAGAATCGTTCTCGACACTGCTCACTCTGTTCATTCTGATCATTCTGTGGGCGGTGCTTCTCCAAACACTGCTGGTTGCTAAGCGTTTAGAGAATTGCCAGTCTGACCCCGTTGGCACTGACCACGACGGAGCGGGTGAGCAGTCTCATCTGGTGCCGCAAGGATCTCCATGTTGTCAAGGTGTATACACTTGGCGAGGCCACGGAAGGAATCAACCGTCATCTGCCGGCGATATCTATCTGCCGAATCTCGGGTCCACACTGATGCCAAACACATCGAGCTTCGAGGACTGCAACGCTGCCGCAGCCGAAAGTGCAAGAACACGCAGCAAATTCTTGTAAAGGGCCTGAGGCAAGACAGCAGTGTGCTATGTGCCAGGATGTGCCTGACAGTTTTCAATTAAATCCCGCATCGCAAAGAAGCATTCTCATACTATGACCCTTGGAGTGCCTTTTGGAGCTTCTGTGGCAAAGGAATGGTCCGTTGCGCCATCAGCTCCTTCACTAGCGGCTCACAGGACTTCTCGAAAGGCCCGAGGTTCAAGGGGTACTGTTGCCTTCAAGTTGACATTTGATGGCGTCACAGCGTCTTCATGAAACAATATGAAAACATTTTGCAGCTGTCAGCATGGGTGGTTAGTAGCTGAGTAGAATCACATCCATGTTTCACTCTGAAGTGATCACACGCGGAAAACTCTGGATGTTGGGAAGCACATCCGTTTGTTGCATTGTATTGCCAAGTGCCCCCAGATGTTCGAATTTAAACCGATCGCAGCCATAAGAGCTGTCGGTTCAGATCACGTTGACTATAGAATCGTATCACGGAGTTCAAGGATTCTAGGTCTCAGTAGCTCAATATTCAATGAATCCGCATTGCTTGCAGGGTTCAAGGAACGCCTTATTCAGAAAGATCCATGCACGGAGTGCCATGCCTACAGGAAAGTACAATGAATTGAACATGGGTCACCCACACACCCTGCTCCAAAGGACGTCAAAGAAAACAAAAGAACTATAGACTATAGACCAAAAATGACCAAACTGAAACCTAGAAACATCATAAAACATCTATCCCAGTTTGCGCCCTCAACCTATGCTTTCTACCTCTAGATTGTCTCCTTTCCAATTCTTAATGTGTCCTCGGAAGCGTGTTCCAAGCGTGCCAGGCCACAAGGACTTCTTCGCGCTGGATGGGTCGGCCTCAATCTGGACACTGACACGTAGCCCACATCCTGACAACTCCACGGAGGAGACCATATCAATCACCAGCCGGAGTGCAAACTTCACCGCCTTGTAGCACAAAAAAGGAGAGTTTTCCAATTATCAAACATCTAAGTCTAACCGAATCTAACCCCCCATCTTTGGACAGTGCTACAAATCAAATGTAATGCATGTTATGCCCGCTTCGGTGCAAAAACTTCCTACCAATGCCAACTAACTAGGCTGCCAGGAAAAAGTCTTTTTCCTGCTAACCGGGGGCTGGTTTCACAACCAGGGTCTGGCTAACATAGCTTGTTTGGAGCCTATTGAGGCTGTCCACCCACCCACCCACCCAGCCACCCTCCCACCATCATGAATTATGATTTGTTGCTCCCACTATGATGTTGGGGTGCGCCAGTCAACCTGCGAGTGGCTGTCATCCTTTCTGAGTGGGTGCTGCGACTGCTTGCAGTTCTGCCAGGAAGACCATGCCTTCTAGTGAAATAACAGCGCGCTAACCAATGACAATTTAGAAATGCGCACTGGCTGCACCAAGCAGCATAAATTTGCCTCAAAATACAAAAGTCTTTCCACAAACCACTTGGAGTACCAAGCATGGCTGGCCATTTTAGACAGGACTGGTCCAGCTGGTATTCGATTGATGCACTGGGTGGGCGGGGAAAGTTGTGCTTGAGCCGCTTAAGTTTTTCAGTTGTCAGGTATTTAACATACATTTGTGTTCGCAGTGTTTTGTGAAGCTTTACCACACACCCACACACACATATTAAAGTATATATATAGTTGTTTTAAACCTGTATGACATGACTGTTGTTAATTAGATATGGTGCGTTGAACTAAGAACAAAAAACAAGAAACCCCTTGGTCGTTCCCACTCACAGCTGCCCTGAATATGCAAGCTCCTTTGAAGTTTGCGCTGAGTGATGGAACGAATGTTCCAACTGTTGCGTTTAGGCTTAAACGCTGTCACTTCGCTAAAAAATGCGCAAAACGCTTTCAGAGCCCTGTTGAGATGTAAACCGCAAAAACTATATAGTGGTTCTCAAAAGGGAAATAACTTTCCATAAGGATACTTTGTTGTTGCAGGTTGGAAACTGCTTTGATTGTCTTGCAACAAACAAAGGCCCTCCTAATAAACAATAGATCCACCGCGCAACCCTTGGCACACTTTTGCACAGAACCACGGGCGCAGCATTGTTTGGAAAACGTTGAGAGGCCACCAGGTGTAGCGCTGAATCTAATCTACATTCTCGATTTCTGCATCTGCTTCGCCCTCTTCTTCCTCACCACCTTCCTCTTCATGTTGGTCCTCGGGCTCTTCCCCAGCATTCTCACCCGCAAGATTGCCATCATAGCCTTCCTTTTCTCGATCAATGCGGAGCGCATGGATTCCTGAGTTGTTGTTGTTTTTGTTGTTGTTGGTTTTCATGACGTATCCACATTCCACTCCATCAAAACCATGACACTCTCAATTGGCAAAGCCCATAAAATATTGTATGATCTAAGCTTTGAACCACCATGTCCTTCATTGCTTGCTTCTCAAGACCTTTTTCACCCTCTTGCCTTGCGTGTTCCTCGTTTGCGCAAAAAGATTTGAACTAACCAAGGGAAAGAGTTGATGCCTAGAAGAATTGTGCTTTCACATCACAGGGTTCAAAGCTTCACTCTTAGTTTCTATCTGCGATATCGATTTGATCATCTTCTGTGAGCAGCTCATGTGGTTTGACCTGCTGCAACAACAAACAAATGATTCGCGAAACCGCACATGTTGTAAGTTGAAGTGCACTGGAAATTTCACAACAAACAGTCAACCCGGCCGTAGCGTATTCTTTGCCATTTACTTTGACGCCATACTTCTCCTCTTTATGGTACTTATACTTGACGCAGTGGTATTTTGCCGCTGCTGCTGGTCTCTTCGTGACCTTTCGAGCCTTTGTCGGTTTCTCAGACTTGTCGTCTGGGTTCTCAGGCCCAGCACCTTTGTCAGCATCATCCGCCTCAGAAGCAGCAACAGCACCTGCGTCAGCAGCGGTTGACTTCAGTTCCTTTGGCGAAGCAGCAGGGCGTTTCATGCTTGACTTTGCAGAAGCCTTCGCAGAAGACTTAACAGAAGGCTTCACAGCAGGTTTTGGTTTGGGCGTCGGTTCGACCCGCGGTTTGGCCTCGTCGTCTGACAGTTGGTCAATCGCTTGCAGCGGCATGTTGGAGTCTTCAAAAATTCGGGAGAACATGTGAGCAGTATTTGAGCCCGCGCGCACCTGTCAGAACACAATCTATCGAAAGCTTCAAGGTGCAAGGAAGGCCTCTGCAAACCATGATTGTTTCTCACATCAGATCATCTGCCACAGCTAACCAAGCTGGAGCATCCATGCCAGACGTTTCTGGCTTGAGACTATACGGAGAATCAAAGTTGCCTACTAGCTGAAGCCTGATGCATTTGCTCAAAAAATCTCCTGTTCAGAAACCATTGATCACCTTTGAACTTTCCAGGCTTGCTAAAGGCGAAATCAGAGCTTCACACTCATGCCGGCCGCAATGCTAAGCTCATTGCACAGCCACATCTTGGGCTTAATGGGAGTCAAGACAGCCGGAATGGATGTTGTCAACTTTGCCTGGCCAACAGCCAGTCAATGATGACCAGGCTCACACAGATCACCAGGGGCAACACAGAAAAATGCGAACTTAAAGTCAAAAAAGTTCAGGCACAGTGCCCTGTGCCTCCCACAAGGTTTGACAAAGTGTGCTTCCTGCCCCTAGCTTGTCCAATTGACCGATAAATGCACCACCGAAAACAGATGCCCGAAGCGTCATAAGATCAGTGGCATCTGATGCTGATAGCGGCTTCGGCTCAAAGCAATTGATCTTTGTTCGAGCTTTGATGCGGTAGCGAAATGGCTTCACATCTGAATCCTAAGGCATCTCATCTCACCCAAGGTGAATGTTCTAGTACCATCCTGAAATGATGGCAAAACTAGACCACATGCTATACCAAGTCTCTACCACCAACTGTTCCAGATCGTGATCAGTCACTGAAATCTCAGGTATGCCGAGAGAACGAGCAGCCATGCAAGAAATTTGCGAAAGGCACATGATTTTCTTAGTCCCACTGCTGTCGATAAAGACCATGCCACGATGATCTCCTGACAAAAGCCAAGGGATGCAATCCTTGGCTGCCAGCTGCGCAGCACCTGACGAGGGAGTAAACTGATGACATGATTTGATGCTGAGCAGCTTAATAACAGAACAACATGCGCGATAATGAGAGCCCCACTCACCGTTTTCTCTGCAAACGTACCATAGTTGTAGCCAAAAAGTTCCCCAGCGGACACTGTCACCTCTTCACTTGTGTCGTTCACAAGCCATATACCCAGGTCGCTTTTCGCTACGTAGAGTTTCAGCTTGCCCGACAGTGGTGGAGTAGTCTTGGCCACAATCCTCAGTCATTTTATATATATATATATTGGGTGAAATTGTCCATGAATCAAAAAAAGGAACATCAATTGTAAAAAATGATTCATGTTGCCGAAAGTCTCCAGTAGCTCAACCTCTGAAACCTTCATAGTTTCCCGGGCAGAACCAACAGCTGATGGGTTGATCGGCAGGTTGGGGGGATCAAACACAGGCTCACATGCCACACGGCTCGTCGGCTTTCTTGGAGTGGACCCCGAAGAAGTCACTGATGGGACGGCTGCGGCACTCCCCGAGACTGATGACAAATCATTTTTGCTGTTGAACTCCCGAACATCTGCTAGCAATTTCTCGCGCTTCCCTCCCAAAGTGGCCAGCACAGCATCTGGAAGCCTTATATACACCATAGTAGGACAGCTGAATCTGCAACAAGCATGTAAACTGTGCATCCAATGTGTTTCTCTCCAACTGATTTAGATTTGCCAGAGCAACGTAAGCTTGTCATTTGAGATGTTGCACACCTGGAGAGTCGGGAATTTCTTGTCGAATTGAGTCTGCGGTCGGGAAGCAGGCCCTGCTGTGCTGCACTTGTCCCAATAGTCCTAAATCAGCACTGAAGACAAATGAAGGGGTTAGCGGTTGAATGTTAACTGTTTGTGTGCAGAATAGGATGTGTGGTGTAGCAGCAACTGCAGTAGTAGTAACTAGTCAGTAGTTATTAGTAGCAGGAATTATCGTCGTCGTAGTTGTTGTTGTAGGGGTAGTAGAGAAGAAGTATAGTAGTGCTAGTAGTAGGAGCAATAGTCTTAGTATGTCAGCTTAGCTCCAAGAAACCGCCACCATCTGACCTGCTAGAGTTTGAGTCCATTCGGTAGCAAAGGGCTCATTTGGATCCATGTAGGCTACAAAACGCCAGTCCAAAGATGATGGCGCATTCTTCAGCTTGTCATGCTGAAGCTGCCACACCGCACGGCCCCACTCATTGTACCTATACCAAGCCTGCCAATAAAAAGGGGATTCAATTGCCAACGTTGACATCTCACTGATTTATCAGGGGCACTTGGATGGAATCAAATCCACCACCCAAATCTTTTGATCATCGCTGACATCAGGAATCCCGTCCAGGAGCCCCTTTAGGGCCTGAGAAGTTGCAAGAACTCCTCTTTGCTGTGCCTGAGATTCTGACATTCTGAGATGGAACACAAACAAGCGACATACAACAACTAGATGATGTAAAAGGATCATGGTTCAAAGTTTAAACCGACAAAGTACTCGAGCAGGCGGACTTGCAGGTTTGTCTGCATCGTCTGACATCAGTTCCATGACTCGCGCCCTAGTAACTGGCCCCAAAGTTCCGAGTATAGCCTTGCACTTGCTGAACCGCCAATCCTTGTGAATGGATGATACGCACATCATACCTCACAGCAACAACGATAGAATGGTATTGACTTGCAAATGGCAATATCTTAATGATGGAAAAGACACCAATTTGCAAACAAGTTGCACTGTTGTGTTTTTTTGCGTTTGTCACCACCATGGTGCGAATCATGGAACATCAAACTCACATCGTGCAGTTCCATCTGCCTCAATCCCAAAATGAAAATTGGTATTATGATGCAACAGGAGAAAACTATGCAAACACCAGATTCAACAGCCACATCAAT